CACTATAATTTTTCAAAAAACCCGTGAATTGATTTAAAATTTTGCAGGTAGCTTTTTAATAGTAATAGGAATCTATAATAACAAATTCAACATGCTAGCATTGTTTAAGTGTATGGCCTATACATCCTTAAGTTGTTTGATCCAATATTAAAAAAGTTATTTCGTTTTGAAACATCCGAACATTAATGGGAATCGCTGTATAAATCTATTTATTCATTATTTTAAACCAGCTTTTAATAATCGTGCAAAACGTGGTCGGCGCGATTTAAAAATGATAGATACGAATAGCGACTAAGTTATGTTAGTCGCGTTATCTTCCGAAATTTTGCGCGACAGCTCTATCATGTTGATCAAACCTGCAATGGGGAGATTCTGTACTATTATAGGTATTTAATAACTGTTATCGTTTCCCGGCAAGTAACATACACATTTTCTAGTTCTTGGTATACCGTATGATTTCGGCATTGACATGTGGTCCGTGGGATGCACCATTTATGAATTATACACGGGAAAGATAATGTTCTCGGGCAAAACGAACAACCAAATGTTAAAGTTCTTCATGGATCTAAAAGGCAAAATGCCTAATAAACTGATTAGGAAAGGATCGTTCAAGGATCAACATTTTGACTCTAACTGCAATTTCCTGTATCATGAAGTTGATAAGGTCACGGAACGGGTAAGTTGTCTTTCTACTGCTCTATCCATCCTTGTTTCTCTGCCGTTTGGTAAGTGACAACTAACGACTCACGTGAACAATCTGGATGATAAAATCACTAATTCTTGTACTTTTAGGAAAAGGTTGTAGTGATGTCTACGTTATCTGCCACTCGTGATCTGAACGCCGAACTGGGTGGAAACTCGTTGCCGGCGGAACAAAGTCGGAAAGTTGGACAACTGAAGGATCTCTTGGAACGCACGTTGATGTTGGACGCGGGAAAGAGAATCACAGTGAATCACGCCCTGGCGCATCCCTTTATACAAGAAAAGATCTAGGTAACCCTGTCCGGGGTCCTCCTTCCACATCGGAGAATTCATTTGACGTAACAAAAGAACGTTTAAAAACGGCACCGCTAACGATTCGTTGTATACCATAAAGGCATTACTAACACGAAGTGGTGGTTCGTTATATCGAATGTCCTGTATCCGTTTTAGCAGAAAGAGGCGGTGCAAAATTTCACACAAACTTTCCACTCGCTCCGTCTGAATTTAAAAAAAAGGATGCCATTCTCAAGAGCTGAACTTTATTTATCATACGACGAGAGGAATGAACAAAATTATTTGAATCAAATATGACATTGTGCTCTGTCCATCTGAACTGTATTATTTAATCAATGATAACTATTGCAGGTCAATAGAGTGCGATATTTTTATATTAGTTAATAACCGCTACGAGCGATGAATAAATATGTTGGGAGTTCACCATCGATGCATTTATCGGCGATCATAAAAACACAACGTGTTTGTACTCGGCTCAGAAACAACGTAGTGTATCACAGGGCGTAAAGATCTCTTTTTCGTGTAAAATTTCTGATATCGCTTGGACCCCGTTTATTTCTTCTCTTTCTTTATGCACAGCAGCGATAAAGTAATAAATCCAGCACACGATGAATACTTGAAGAAGAGGCTCAAGCCGTGGTTAACACGTTAAGCTACCGTTGGACGAATAATGAAATATTGGGAAAAGCGACCGCCTCTTTCAGCATGAACCGGCCATCGATACGTAGCATAATGGTGGTACATAGTATTTTTTCTTTTTATCAATCTTTCGAACTTCGAGTCGCGAATTCCCTTTACAAATTATAAATAGCAATTAATTATAATTATGAATGATGATGCGAATATATCTCGTGGCGAAACATTTTCGTGATTTTGCGACACTGTGTAAGAGGCTCTCACAGAACTCGACTCATAGTTGAGCGCAAAATCATTTTTCTTTTTCTTTTTTTAATCAACCTGTGTGCCGTTGGGCGCACGAACGGCATTAAAGTCTAGTAACAAGGGAACTTGTATTGATCGAAAAGAACAAACAGAAATTGTATAGTAAGTAGGTTATTGAAAAATAAAATGTCACATGCTTGAATGAGAAACAAGCCCTGTATTTTATACTTTTCAGTCATAATCGCGCGCTGTCCGTGCAAGATTATTAAATGCACGTAAAGAAAAAACATAAATGATTATATATGCATATATAATATTTAGAAGGAAAAGAAGGTACCGATTGTAATCTGTTTTTCATTTAATAACGAAACGTTTGGTAGACAACGTGTGATTTCAGGAAGTGTTGGAAAAAGAATAAGTTATTGTTGTGTCAAGACATGCTCGATCTTGGGCGACTGCTAGTGTTATAGATAATCCTTTTCACGTCTAACAAGTTGCATTTATTTAAAGATATCAATGTAAAGAATGATAAGAAATATAATGTATATATTTGCACTGACAAATAGTAATTTCGAATGGCATTATACGAGACGAAATATTATCTAATGCTTAATATTAATATGTAGTCTGGTAGAAATATAAAAAAAAAGGAAAAATGTATTTCGTTTCAGTAGATGTGTTATAAGTAGCTTACGATTTTTTATCGTTAGCTTCATAAAATTTTCTCTTTATTTAATATTGCGTTAATTTATTTATAAGACACGACAGAACATCAATGCTGTTTGAATGGTTCATGGTAATGTTTGTCCTTTGCGTGGCAATATTGTACGAGACTGCTTATGTTTCAGATATGAGTCTTCGATTCAAAGCATCGTTAAGTGCGGGCGGACCTTTCGTGGGCTTTTAACGCCGATCCCGTTGCAAGGTATTCATGGGGGACTGCCTTATGGGATATTTAATGTATCCGTTTTCTCGTTAAACAACATAACATTGCAAGTCGAAGCCTGCGTAAAATCGAAGTCGTTCTAACGATCATCCTTGCTATGTTCTTTAGAGGCGGATCGACTTCGTTTATATTAAAATTTTCACATGCGTTAGCTAATTTATATAACATATAAACATAATAAACGGAAGGCTAAATGATAATTGAATTTGATTATTCTTTTAATTATTTCGCACAAAGCATGAACATTTTAGTTTCCTTATGAGGGATCGAAAGAATGCTTTGTTTAATTAAAACATTGATTAGAGAAAGGGGGAGGTAGATGTTTCGGGCACATTTCAATCAGAAATAAAATGAATACACAAAAAAAAAATGTGAACTGGTTTATAGTTTTCTAATTGGCTGTTTGGTAATGTTTCACTTGTAGCCCTCCCTGAGAGGAGGGGAGGCAATGGAAGAGATGAAATCAGTTGATGGATAACGTGATGGTGAAGGAAATTGGGGTGAGATCCTCGCAGCAACAGCGGCTTGACTACTATGTAAAAATGATGCCTGTCGCAAAAAAAGGATCAGCGAATATTTAATATAAATTTATATCAATAGGAAGGTTTGTCATAAAGTACCATTGAAATTAATTGAATCGTAAGTATGTAAACAGGTAAGGTATACATGCGTAGGAAATTTTATTCTAAATAATCTGTTTAATTATTACGTAAGTATAGGTAATATTATAAAAGGACACGCTATTAATATTTGGGGCTCTCAATTTTCAGATCGCTAAAAAGAATGTCTTCAAAATGAGTTATTATAAAAATTGTCGAACATGAAAATAATTGTTGGAATAAATTATGCGTTTATATATCCGGGCAATTAAATTTTATTCTCATTACGCTTTAATAAAACATGTTACACGTATATTGATATAATTCTTGTCTCATTGTACAATCCATTTAGTTTAATTCATTCCACTTTCTTCATATTGTCAATCTTATCTCGAATAAGTAATGTAACTGGCTTAATAAATAGATAAAACTTTTCCAAACATTCGTATCTCGATTTGTAAACCTGACAACCTTAGAGCTCATAAACAAGCAGAATTTCGTGGTCTGTGTTTTATAACTGGAATTTTACCCAAAGGATATACAAATTGAGTGGTACGGATTCTTATTTACAGAATTCGTGCATGTAACAAGGCCTCGATTTGAAGGTATACATTTTCCACCTTATCTTGACGTATTTAATCACGCCCCGGATAATACTGAACTAACAATTTGGCTAGCTCTTGTGCCAACTCCATTGTCGACGCGCACAAGACTCTTCTGCTCATCACATCGAACGGACCACCTGTAAACAGAAAATTGATTGCAAAAGATACATTCGAAGATGAATATAATGTGAGAATCAATCAGACAAAAGACTGAAATTTATACAGTGGACTCTCATTAATAGACAGCCAAATTTTACCTGCTGGATCTATGCATACACCGCCAGCTTCCCTTACGATGAGATCCCCAGCTGCTATGTCCCAAGCGTGGATACCAAATTCAAACGAAATATCCGCTCCGCCGAGTGCAACCATGCACATATTTAAAGCCGCCGATCCCAGACAACGTACTCTAGTAAAATAAGAAGTATTATAATAAATAATGAAACTTATGATTGAAACTACGAACTGGTTAAATAGAATAATATATTTTACCCGTGCACTTGTGCCGTAAGGATGTTCGCATTTTCTAATACGATCTTCACTTTCTCCGGATCTCTGCTTGTCCCCATTTCCATCATTACAAGAGCTTTACGCAATTCTGGAAAGAAATGAGAAAAAATTGAAATTCAATTCACTAATTTATGGATAGACTGCGGGTTTTATGCAAGTTAATCTCAAATTATTAATCTCGTACCATAAATAGTTTATTTTGCACAAAATCCACTGTCTATTTATGAACGATACGAAAAGATCAATTAACTTTAATTACCTTTCTCCTCAGAAACGCTAATAGGCGCTCCATTCAGAAACGCGCCTTGACCTCTACGAGCGGTAAAGAGTTGCTCCAAAATCGGATTGTAAACTATACCAATCTCAGCGGTCTTGTTAATAAGTAGTGCAATCGATATACAAGTATGGGGCAAGCCGTGCACGAAGTTCATTGTTCCGTCGATCGGATCAATGATCCACGTCGGCGCGTCGGTGAATTCAATTGTCTTCCCAAGTGAAGTACCCTCTTCGCCGATAAATCTGCAGAAATATATTTTAGACACGCAATACTATTATTAAGGTTTCTCTGACGTATGTGTGTTCTAAATACAGTATATTCTCTGATTTAGTACATAGGTGCACGCGTTAAAATGTACATTTTAATTAGGCTTGGAGATTATTCAAATAAATTATTTGAAAAATAATCTCAAAAATAAAATATTACCTTATCTGACTACACGTCATTTGAAATAATCATTGATTCATTTATTTTAACGTACAAATAATTTTTCACTCTATTTATTTTTATTTGATCAAATACTCTCTAATTCTACGTAAGTATA